TATGTAAATAATTTATTATAAAATAATTATCAAAAAAAATACAAGATCCAATGATATAAATCAATTTAAAAATGCATGAAATATCCAATACTTCTTTTCACCTCCTGTATATAACAAATATTATATATATATTAAAGATATATATATAACATATATTATAGAAAAGAGTTTGATATTTTTCTTAGAATTCTATTTTTTATCTAAGACAACTTAAATAAAAATAGAATAAGTATAAAAGAACAAGTTAAAATAAAAATAGATCTTTTTCTCCCATAACATTATCTGTTCAAGTTGGCATATTTTTATTTGGATACAATCTGGATGAATTTTTTTCTTGAATATGACCAAATCTATTTTAACTGCATTCTAGAATAGTAATCGTGATATATAACTTATATGTTAGAGATACTAGTTCTGCTATAGTTGAGTAGATAGATAAATATATATCTTGCTACTAGTAACAACTTATGACAAAAATTTGGTATACTTTAATATAACATGCTATTAACATGAGCAACATATTTCTAATACTAACTAATATCAAATATTCTGGCAATCAAAATTGGCATACTTTAATATAATGTGTCTTAAACATAGATGAAGTTGATTTGATAGCATTTTCTGATAACATTATGAGATATTGATCACAATTAGGATGTAACTAGAACAGATTTCCTAAGGCTAACTATGGACAAAGTAAGTTGATTTCATACTTGATAGCATGTCCAGATAATATGTATATAGCATATATATAACAAATTAGATATCATATACTCTGGCTATTTGCCTCCACAAATGATGACATAATTGCAATCAGGTCATCAAACTGCAATAAGACCAACCCAGCAGTAGTCTATGATCAATATTAACCTCTGAAAATGAGGTGCAAAACATATTCGACCCATTAATTGAATACTTTATCACATCGGTGGTCACTCGGATGACTTGAGATTCATGACCATAACATACGACGGTTCATAGCCTGGTACCCCACTCAAGCCATAGACTATGAATTAATCATATATTTTAATAATAGATCATGTCAACCCGGTATACGAGGGTCGTTATAGTTAGTAGACTATGAACTCGTCTGTGCCATAAAAATCATTTCAGTCGTACGACAGTTCATAATCTAAGTCATAATATATATATTATTATGAATCGGCTTATGTAAATGCTAAGGAATTGGATTATGAGCAAGAGGAAGAGCAGTGATAATGCATTATATCTTATTAAAAGAGTTTACTGTTCTAATAATGCTTCTTATTCAATAAAATTAAGGTACAGTTTGCATCATAAATATTCAGAATTTTGATATAGTGCATAAAATAATGAAAAATTGTCAAAATTGCCTGATATTTTCTTTATAGCCTGTAAATCAAAATATTTTACAAAATTATTATTAATTGCATTTATTGTTACACTTTTCCTCAATAAAATTTATTGTAAGAAAGTCAGATCCAACAAAGCATTGAGCTTATATTATTTTTTCGCTACTTTTGTTCACGAAAAAAACGCGACCACGATTCACCATGTCTGCACACGATGCTTGATCGTGATAAGCAGTTGTTGTTCGAGGGTTAGGTATATGGGGATCGTTAAAACGAATCGACGAAAGAGGGAAACACAATCGATTTGAAACTTTGTTACATTTAATCAGATAACGATAACGGTAACAATTAAGAATAGCGAAAGTAAACGTTATCATTTGTGGTTCACCATGTTCTTTGATCTTGATTTTCTAATCTAAGAAATATATTGAAGTAGCATTCAATAGTAATTACTTTTAATAGATGGTTCGCTGAACGTGGTAATTACTTTAGTAATAGAAGACAGTTTATCGAAACGGAATTTCTTTATAATTTGTCCAAATCCCATCAAGGACTCTGATGCCAAATTGTCATTTGGCGTGAAGACAAGATTGACTGCATTTTTTTAGGGAATCAAGAGAGATTGGGCTATTTTTTGACTTGAATAATTTCCATTTACATGTATATCCGCATCAACCGTTTTTTATCAAAAAGAACGTTATTCTACATACATGTAATACTATACAATACACATATAATCAAAAATCCATATTTTTACCTTTATCAAACTAATACATGTAAATTCACCAAGCAGCTGAATATAAATTTTCCCCTCAGAATCCTAAATTTTTGAATCTGGGTCACCGGAATTATAATCTCCTGCTGCGCATTATAAAAATCTCAAGACAATTCAAGCATCTCGTAGCGCGTGATCAATGTCATTTTCCCGTATTCATATACTTTGGCGATGGGATTTACGTGTACAGCGTGTAAATTTATTTTTAGAATGTTGTCAATGGTTATACTACTTTTTTGACGATGGTGCTTGTGTTGAGAATGTCATTTCACTGGTTTTGCATTTTTCCATAGTTTTTATTTAAATTATTAATAAAAATTCTTTTTAAAGAATTATAATGTTTATTGTATCGTTATCGATATTTGATAAATTGATGATTCGCGTTGGGGTCATAAATAACACACTCCAATATTTTCTTCACTCAACTTACAACTTTTTTTCGACCAAGAAAAATTGTATTTTGCAGCCTAACCTATTTATACTATTTAGTGTATATTCCACTAACTATATTTTGTGCTTATTGCTGCCGCCCCTTTTGTTAAACCTCTAACGCTAATACCTATCTAGAAACTCCAAAATCAGGAAAAACTGTTTCCTATCGTTACGCAAAAATCTCTTGGCTATGCTATGCGAGAAAAAGTTTTACGTGCATGCATCAGCATTATTATCTTGTGTTTTCAAACTTTATCATTATTTTTTTTTTCGGGGAAGAAAAAAGTTCAACTTTTAGGAAAACCCAAAAAAATTACTCTTAAAAAAGCACAACCAGAATTTTTTTTGCTTTTCAATATGGATAATAAATTATAAATGAAAATTTTTAGATTTTTTACCATATTGGTTCAATGTAATTATATTTATTAAGTAACGGAAACTTTCTATTTTTGTACGTGCACATGTAACTTTGTAACGAATGCCATATTATTGGTTCTCTATCCAAACCTTATTTTTACGTTAAAAGTTTACACATTATAAATAAATATATACACAACCTTTGTATCGTATGAACTTACTCCTGACAGATGATTAACCAAAGAGAATAGTAATATGACTTCAGGTTCTCGTAAAAGAATTAAAATCTTGCAAATTATGCATGCGCATTATCACATTATTCATTTCGGAATCTGTTTTTACGATTAAACGTTGCAGGAATGTACTACATAACAAACTACAAATAAGATTTCATCAACTGCTCAAATTTTTAATTTTTTGTGTTGCGTGAGACTTCAATTTACACCGTAAGATGGGTCGATTTTACATCATCAAATGTAAAACGGTTTCAAGTTTTACTCTCTTGCGCTTCAGGGTCAAATATATCCTAACTACTCACATTCCTTTATATTCTAAAAACACATACACACGCATTCAAATGGGTGTGTGCTTTTCAAATACTAGACATGATAGTTTCGGAGTTCGACGACTTCGACACAAGCTGAAATTCAGATATCAAACACTTGACGGACGACTATATCAGGCCATTGATAACTCAGTGTATTGGGTGAGTTAAGATTATTATTTTTCTAGCTGGATTAATAATAAATGTATAAATTTTGTTTTATCGTTATTTAATTGTTACTTGGATAACATTCCCCCAGTTACCAATTGACGATATTGAGGCTGAACGCTCAACAAACAGCCATCTCTTTCATAAAAGAATTTGGAATGGCAATTTTCATGCACCAATTGCAGAGATATTGAAAACTGGTGGACGAAATGTACGAGTATTGGATATCGGATGTGGTCCAGGTGCTTGGATCTTGGACATGGCAGAATCCTTTCCCAATGTAAAATTCATAGGTTATTATTGTCTAAGCTCTCGTTGCATTTTAGTGAATTTTCTTTGCGAGAATTCTGATAAAATTAATTTATTTAGGAATTGATGTATCACCCACTTTCCCGACTGAGAATATTCCACCCAACGTGAGATTCGTTGAATACAATATACTGGACGGCCTACCGATTGCCGATGCTTCAATGGATTTTATTTTTCAAAGATTTATAATACATGGCATCAATGAGCAAGCATACAAACAAATAATCATTCCCGAACTGATAAGAGTAATGAAGCCGGGCGGATGGATTGAATTCACGGAAGGTGATAACTATCGTTCAGAGGCTGGAAGAGTTACAAACAGACTAGCAACAGGAAGTAAATGTCGTTTATTTAACTCCCTGAATTTTAGGAAAAAGAAACTGAATTTAAATTATTTTTGCAGTTGTTAAATTTCTAAGGTACAGAGGAATAAATGAAAACATTGGAGGAGAATTTCCACAGATATGTGAAGGTACTGGACAGTTCTGTCAAATTTCTCATGACGCTCAGACAATTAGACTTGGTCGTCAAGGAGGGGAAATTGGACAAATAGTGTGTATTAAAAAAAATTAGATAATCTGAATCCATATTTTTGAATCAATTTAATCGTTTAATTTTGACTAGGCATTGCGAATCATACATGAAGGAATGAAAGGTGGACGAATACCAATTGCTGAATATTTAAATATGATGCCCGAGCATTACGACGCATTAACTGAAACGATGCTAAGTGAGGCGGAAAGAACAGAGACGACATGGACAATACACAAATGTTGGGCGCAAAAAAGATTAGATTAATTGTTTGTTTATATATTTGTAATTTTGTAAATTTAACTCCGTTGATTATCATTAGAGTTGTAAAATATATAAATATTGAAAAATTAACCTTGTAACCTCTAAGCTATTTCAGGAATGAACAGTGCAATGCCACCAATTCGATAAATAATAATACAACATGTAATATGAATAATAATAAGCCTCGAGGCTTGAACATTAAATTAAGTTTTCGCTTGCCACAACTATCAAATATAAATCAAGAACAACTCGACACCTTTTATTAAAAAGTTATCTAAGAAATAAAGATTGTTTGCAAAAAGATGGTGGAATATCCAGAAACAACAAATGCAACAGATCATGGAACACCTGATTCATCATCATCAGAAGAGCTAAATGAAATACTATTTCGTTCCGCTCCGACGACAATTCCATCAACTGTATTCGTGGTCCTATTTACGATTACTACACTTCTTTTGGCATATAGAGGTTTAAGAACATTGCGAGCATTCTATCTACAACTTTTGCTGTTCTCTCTGACACGTGATATTACATTTATGTTTCGATTGGCATGGTCAGGTAGTCATCATGAGGCACAGCAAATCGCTGTAGCCGCGGCAGCTTTCGAAGTTGCTGGTAATTTTCTTGTGACATGGGCGTTATTCGCATTACTTGAAGATTGGAGATTATTTCTATCATACGGTACACCAGAATACAAAAAAGGAAAAATATTTTTTATACTGATTAAAATAGCTGTGATGGGTATCTCAATGATAGCTTTAATAGCGGCAACCAACGAACACAGCGACAAAATGGAAGACTATAATCTCGGGGTTCTACTAAGGAAAATCTCAATTATTGGATTCACTGCAATCCTACTTCTAATTCTCGGCTTGATTCCATATTACGCGCTCACGATCAGAGCTGTATACCATCATACCGGGATTCGAGATAAAGTGGTATTACCGTTATTTCTGGGTCCGTTATTACTGTTAATTGGACGCCTGTATCAGATAACACTGTATTTTTCGCCGAAGATGTCAGCTGTGGTTCGTAATCAGTGGTGGTATTATTTGTTTGCGACTACACCGGAAGTGCTGGTGTGTTATATGTATGGGTTGATCGATTTTGAAAAGAATTTTTATTCGAGGCATGATGCGCTTTTAAGTGAGGAAGGACATAAAGAAGGGGGTGAAGAAGATAAAGACAAGGTCACAGCTTCAGAATTTTTGTTACAGCAGTAACATTATGCAAATAATTGATTTTTATTTGTATAAACTATGATTGAATCAAATTGAATGCATCCATAAAATAGAATTGACAAAAAATAGTTACTCACCCGATGTCTCAGAATTCCTACATTGGGAAGATTCCTTATCAGCTGAAGAAACTTTCTTCGATAATTCATGCGAACAGTGGAAGTCCCTTTTTACAATGGCCGTATTGGCCTAGAACTTTTGGCCGGTCCGATTTATACTTTTATTAGTGAATCCGGTGTATATTGGTTAATCAATGTGGCTTCGATAAAGAACTTTATAGTGATACATGTGTTATATAGTAAAATGTGATCCCAACGATTACCGCATAAACCCATAATTTATAGTAATGAATTTGTAAATTATATGACCTTGTAATCCTGGCCAAATCTATAATTTCCTCAATTTCCAAGCAATTTTAAAGTGATGTGGCAGATTACGGTATATTTTTATTTTCATACTCTTAACAACTCGAAGAATAATTTGTTTGAACTACTTTACAAAATAAAACTGATGTAAACTTATTTTATATATTATTACATATTATCATTTAAAGTAGCGGTCAAAAGTATCCGACCTCTTATAACTTTTTATATTAAAAATTTTTTGTTTGAATAATTAAAAATTACTATATTAAAAAGTTTAAGTATTTTTATACTAATAACAAAAAAATTTAATATAATTAATAAGCCAGTTGTTGAAAATTAAATTTTAATTTTGGGTATTAAATTATTTTTTTATATTCATATAAAATAAAATTTAATAAATTTAAACTTTAATTTCTCAATAACTGTCTTGTTTAAATTATGTCAAATTTTTTAAAATTCAGCTCTCGTTTAAATTTTGTTATAATAATTATAAAATTATAAAAAACTCGCAGAATTTATATTAGACTATCTATGCTGAAAATTTATCTTCAATCTAAAAAAGTTACAGGGGTCGTATACTTTGGCCGCTGCTGTACAATTATATATACTAATTTACGATTTAATAAAATTTTGCTTTGTAAAGAAACAAATTTTAGTTTTTTGCATCCTTATTATTGGAAATTTTATTCAATAACGATAATTTTTATACTTTATACATTCAAGTAAATAATATATAATTGAAATAAATCAATGATAGAATTAAAGAGTCTCAATTGAAAAATTGCTGCGATATTGTTATTTAGATGATAACAGACCAGGTTTACCATGTGATATCGATATTAAATAACTTCAAAATTTTTTCTTTAAAAACGTGTAGTCCAATTTTAATATGAGGTATCCACATATAGTTTTTGATTTACGTAAGTGGGCCCACTGAATTTAATAATTTTATGTCCAATATCGATATGATTACTGAAATTAATAACGTAACAACACAACACTTTACATAGTAAACCGTGCATCCCAATGAATTATTTAAGCGTCACTTTGTTTTCTTTCATTTTGTTCATATTAATGCAATATCAGAAAAAATATACAGATAAAGGTAATTTAGTAACGGTAAAATGAACTTTTTTATCTATCTCCTGACTTTTGTACAACTAAAAAAATTAATGTGTATGTCGATCACACCCATCCAAATTTATAACAAAATCCAAAAAAATGCTCTTTACTCGCTTTATCTTGGTTCAAAGAAGCTTAAAAAATCAAATTTTTTCGCTTTTCAAGCTTCTGAATTTTTTTATACCTAAAAGCGACGAAAAAAGTTGATAGAGTATAAAAGTATTCCATTTTTATAAAAATCGCGTTAAAAAATGTGGCACAGTAAAAGGCTTGATTATTATGAAATTTTGTGGAACGAGAATATTAATTTCTCAAAATATGTAAAAAGATCTTCGTTTGAAATAGTTTAGTTAAAGCACTACGCTTTTAGTTTTTCATTTTCAAAACTAATAAAAATTAAATAACGCACTCACTGATATTAATATTATATATATATTATTTTTATTATTTATATTTGAACATAAATTTTCTATAAAAAGAATTTATTATGATTTGATATGTATTATATCTCTTTTAATTATTCCAATCTATTTACTTTTTTCAAATACAAGTAGATTTTATATTATTAATACTATTATAATATTAAAGTTTAAGTTCAATCTATATTTAAATACAAATCGAGTTCAAAATTCAGAATTTTATTTTTATAAAATTTTATTTTGATAAAACTAAATATTTTGAATATTAATTTTTAAATAATATTATATATTTAGAATTGACAAAAGAATTGTAAATTTTTTAATCTTACATGCAATTAGGATAACACTCAAAAAAAAATTTTCATAAGATTGAAAATTCAGCATTTTATCATATTTATAAATCTCTTTGATGGTTTATATATATCGTATTTTCGCGAAATAACGCACACCCCATAACATTGATAAACTTTTTTAAATATAAATTCGACCTCAGCACAATCTCGAACTCCTTTGTTCCCACCATTCTTGAACCCATTTCTAGTCGATTTTGTAAGTTGCTTCTTCATATGAAATGACCGCAAGTTTAAACGCGATAGTATAACTTCGTTTGTGTTCATGTTCACTTGTAAAATTTGCACGCGAAATAAAAAATAACGATCACAGACTCGAAATGTCAAACAGAATAAAATGCATGCACATAAATACGAGTAAAAAATAAAAAATATTTAGCGTTAGATTTTTTCGAAAATCAGGTTTAACTTTTGTCTCGAAATGACGCGCAGATGGGCGTTATTTCGCGAAAATGCTGTATATAGTTAATAGAATAATTATAACATGTACTTTCATTTCTCAATTATATATCAACAATCCATGTATTTATCAATTGACTTTCTTTAAGCCTTGATATTTGATGAATACAGACTTGAAATCATTCAAATACTAATTTGTAAAACATCTTTTCAAATAAAATTTCGTACAAAGAACCTGGTTTTATTTCTTATTAATAAAATTGACTCAGGAAAATGATTTAAGATTTCGACTGATCAATTGTTTGCATACACAGACACTAAATAGATTTATTTATTGGTATTGACTAAAGATTATTTACATTATTTTTAGTTGGCTATAAGAACACACCAAATAATATTTTATTGCTGAGAAAATAAGTCATAAATCCAAGTGTTGTTACTATTTTGTTCTTTAAACATTAACTTAACGTCTTTAGTAGGGTTCTCAAAAACATACGAAATAAGCTTTGCAGGTCCATCAGTTTGATAAGGATTTGTGGCTTTGGGATTATCTTGCGCCCTTTCAATGGGTTTATTACCAGTCAGATCATGAGTCTTCTCGCGACCGTTTTGATTCCAAGTCACATAACACGACAAAGGGGAAATAGAACTCGAGTTTGGAAGTTGATTGAACTGACCTAGGAGTCGATAATCCACACATGTTTCTTTTTTGTTATCTTGGTTTGTACAACTGAGATGCCATTCACCATCGTTGCTTTTGGTAGATAGGGTCGTGGCGACTATTACGCGTTTTTGTAATGTTGAAGACAAAGATGATGAGTGAATTTGTGGAAAGAAGAACAAAAAAAGCGAACCAATGACGAAGAGTGGTAAATCAAAAACTTTCGTCAACATTTTGCAATAAAAGCTAATAAAATAACGCGCGGTGATAGAAGATCTTTGATTATGTGTGTATACAATAGAAGTGGAAAATCGCAATCGTTAACGTAATTGGGATAAATTTTTTTTTAGTTGTTTTGCTTTAGAATGGTGAATCAAAAAAATTCGATTTTCGACTCGACAAAGAAAAAATGTCTGTAGAAACCAACGTTATTTATAGAACATGCCAAGTCTCAAAGATGTTCTCCCATATTAAGGATTTCTTCATCATCATCATTTTTGCTGATTAAAATCATCATAAAGTTTAACGTTAAACATTAAACATTATCATCATTATACATGTATATGTAGTTTGATAAGAATCACGTTTTTTTACGATGAAAGTAGCATCACGTGTAATAAAGATGTTTGCCTAAACTATGTTGAGAAAAATCAGGTCAAATGGTGGTTAAACTAGTTTTGTTCCCTTTACTTATCCTACACTCAATAATATCAAATCAAGTTTCGAGTTTGAAATTATTTAATAAAAAGAGGTTTGGATTAGTTTCGTCTTGTGTGTTACCGGTAATATACGAATTTGATCGATCTGATTGCAAAATTTAAATATCTTTATTTGATAACTTTAACGTTAACGCCCGCTCTCCCTAAAATGGTAGTACATGCATAGTCATACCTATACATGTTCATGTATTATGTGGGACAGCAAAACCTGTTTGTGGCTTTTTATAACGATAATGCGGTACATGTTCGGTTTCAACAAAAACGCTTTTAACAAAAGGTTTTCTTGACAATCATGATGATTCGTTATTCTAATATTTATATCTTTGCTTTATTTTTCAATTTCTTATTTGTTTCTTTGTTTGGAGTACCAACGAACTACGAAATTCACGCAATCAACGTTAAAACTTTTGCTAACAACGATAATTTCAAGATTTCGTATGCCGATGGCCGACTAAAGTTATCAAAATCTACTGAAAAAATTTCCATTATTAACGACAACGATAGTGAGCAAAGTGACATTTTGTTGGCATCGAACGATTACAAAAACAGCATCCCAGAACCTCACTACTCTGTCTACTATCAAAATAACGACGACTTTATTGATCTTAATTTCTATGATATAAATCATCTTAAATATGAATCCAGTTGCCTACTTCATTATAATCAACGTTTCGTCTCGATCAAAATAAGTTCGCTTGAAGGAAAGGAATTTTGGCCGGGTGATGAAAATTTCAGCTTGGGGAACGATCCGGAAACTTTAGTTGAAATTCATTTGAGAAATTGTCGATTTATTGTGGGAGCTTTCAACCTATTGGTGACTGATCCGGACAACGCGTTTCTTAAGGATTTTGTTATGGAATATGTGAAATTAGGCGACTCGTTTACATTTTATGTGCGTCCTGGTTGGAAATTTGAACCTTGATATATTTGATTTGTAAAAGCGAATACATGTAAAGAATTGGTCTATTATGCATATAGTAAATAACCCAGTAGCTATTTTTGTTATTTTTTCTTATGTCTCTCGGTCTCTCACTGGATATTCGAAATCAAATTTATTTATTATGGGATTAATCGAATTTTTTTTAATTAAATAAATAAAGAAAATGTGCGTAAGCAAAAGCTCACTTTGTCCACTGGGGTAATACATGTAGTGTAAATACAATGCGCATAACTTAATTTATTTGTTAAATAATACATTTAAGAAGGTATGCATTTATAGAGAGTAACATACATAAGGTCTTATAGCTTTAAACTGAGCCATACCATGCATTTAGAGGGAATTTATTTAGTGCGTGCATTTATAAAGGATGCATTTAGGGTTTTTTAAAAAAACTATTAAATAATTATGCAAAAGTTCTAAATAAGTTAACTTGTAAAATATTGATAAAGTTTGAAATATAATAATTTCTTATATAAATATTATTTAGACATGCAATAACGATTTTCTTGCTAAATTTATATATACATGTATTTTTCGATATCGATATGAAATTTTAGGCCAAAGTTATGCAAATCATGAAGATCATTTGGCCAAAATTATCATAATTTCTTATAATTAAATAGTGATTTTTTTAATAATATTTTATAGCTGAGTACTACATAAAATTACTGATAAAATTCTTTTATATTATGCATTATAATAATTATTAAGATATTTCATTTATAATTTAATTTATTTTAATCTGCCACAATAAATACTTTAGTATTTTTATTCATCAATCTTGTTAATAATACTTTCAATATATTAAAATAATTTGTTATGCTATTGAATTGATTAACTATAGCTAATAATTAATAATTATAATTAATTAATTGGCATAGCTATATTACATAATTAAAATTTTATTAAGCAATGTTATTTAAGTTTTTATTAATTTAAAATTCATATCTATTCTTTATTTTCATTTCAATTTCTCATAATAACTATATATTTTACTTATATATATAATATTTCTAATATAAATATTATAATAAACTTATTAAATTTTTTCATTTTTAATATTGTTATCTAAATCTAGTATATATTTAACTTAACAACTTTTAAACTATTCTATTACTAAATCTTTTTTTTATAATATTATAATATTAATATATTATCAAAAAAAATATTATTATTATATTAAAAATATAAATCAATTATAATATAACTTTTATATATTTTTATTATTAAATTTCAAATATATTTTCTAAATAAGCTTAGATTTATTTATAAAGTTATATTTTTTATTAATATTCTAATAGTATATAGTATATAGTTAATAACATTATTATTAATTTTATTATAGTATTATAAATATTCTTTTTTTATTAAATCAAATAAGATTAAGTATAAGTAAGTATAATCTGATATAAAAGATTTATATCTTAAATAAATATTAATAAATTATTTTTTTAAAATAAAATTTTAATTCTATTTTATTTAATTAAGTTATTAGATATAAGAATTTATTTAAATATAAAATTTTTATTATATCTTTTATAAAAAATTTTACTAATATAAATTTTTTTGAATTATTATTTCTTAAATTTTATTATATAAAAATTAATATAAAAATTATATAGTAAATAATTTAATTATTAAACTTTGAATCTTAATATCTTTATAATTACTAATT